CCCTTAAGTTATTCTGGTCTTGCTGAAAACCCACAAGAGCATTTCAGGCATGGAAAGCAAAAACAATGTAGCAAAAAATGTCCTACATGAAGGACCTTCTGGGTGAGACCCCAGTGGAAAGAATTGGTCATCAAAGGAGGTACTTTTCTCTGAAGGGAGGAGAGAATGTCTGTCGCTCCCCCATTCACGGAGGAACGACACTAGACCCTGCGCTGTTCTTCTTGCCCAGCCCTTCCCAGGTTAGCTGCCGTTCCCTCACTCACGGAGGAACGACGCCGTCCCAAGTTAGCTGCTGGCCCCCCCGCCTCTGTGGAGGGGCGGCACCCCCCACCGCTTTCCCCGCTTCCACGGAGGAGCGGCACACCGCCGGCCGGCTCTCTCAGTGGCTGCTCAGATGTTCCTCAGATGTTTCTTGGTGCATGTTGTCTCTCTCCTCCTTTATAGTCCTCTTCCACCAATCCCAACTCTGCTGCCCACACGCCGAGCATGCTGTTCTCCTCCAATCAGGAGCAGGATCAGCTCCTGCTGCTTGTTAGACAAATTGGTGAGGCAGCTGCGTAGGAGTTGTTTGCTCTCTCTCAGCGCCATATTGTGGGAGATCAGATGCATAGAATTAGTCCTAGTTCCAGTAATTTAGTCTAGTCTCAGTTGCTCCCCACAAATGTCTACTTTGCTTATGGCCTTATCTAAATACTGGTGGAGTTTGTGTATTTAAAAGGCTTCCATAGCCTTGGCCGCTCATGTCAAGACTCTTGGGTGATCACTGATGTCATACATAGGAGTGTTAATTGTTAAGTTAACAATAGGTGTCACTGCACACTAACTTCCCATGCAGAACCTCTGTCCTCAAAGAGTTATATTATAATTATGTCTTTGTGCTCATGAAAGAGTGTTTCTTTACAGTTAATTAAATTTTTACAAGATGCAATGACTTTGAACAGCACTTGTCTCAACTGTTGAGGAACAGTTTTATTTTTTTTTCAAGCAAATTTTGAACTCTTTATTTAGTATAGAGTTGGTCTTCTGCGTATAAAGTTAATTGAAAATGGATCTTAGTGGAGAATGGGACTGGGAATGGGAGATGGAGGAGGAGGAAGGGTGGGAGTGTGGCTGGGAGGGCAGGTATGTTGGGAGGAATCACTATATTCCTAAAATTGTACTTATGAAATGCATGAAGTTTGTATTCCTTAAATAAAAGGTTTCTTTGGGAAAAAAAAGAATCAAATGAATAAATACAAATGACTCAGCTAAATTTAAAAAAAATTAATTGAAAATGGATCTTAGTGAAGAATGAGACTGGGAATGGGAGAGGGAGGAGTAGGAAGGGTGGGAGTATGGGTGGGAGGGCAGCTACAGTGGGAAGAATCACTGTATTCCTAAAGTTGTGCTTATGAAATGCATGAAGTTTGTATACCTTAAGTAAAAGGTTTCTTTGGGATTTATGTGTGGAGTCAGCCTCCCCTCTCAAGGTAAAAAGACTTCACAATGGCTTTTATCTAGTCCACCAGGCTGGCTATTCCCTTGGAAATAACCGCCTCTCTGACTGGATTGCCTATCTGTGACTTATTGTTCCATAGTGAGCTATGGCCTCTGCACGAACCCAAACATTGTCTTCCACTCTGCTGCATATGAAACCAGCGATACTGCTCCTAAGTTGGTTACTGTCAGAATCCATTTTAGTAAAGGCTTCTGAGGAAGCCGAGACTACAGATCTATGAAATAAAGCAATAGCTTCACATTATTTCCTACAGTTTTAATAGTTTCTTGGTTTCTCCCTTCCCCCATACTGACTACCTTCTTGGTAACCACAGGTGTTAGAGGCACTGTTGGTGGCCTCTGGATAATATTCCCTTGAAGATGGGAGGCTTTAAGGCTGGCAGCAAGAGCTAAGACTGACTGCACCGTGAGCTTGATGTAGCATCAAGTTTCAACCTAACACCCTCTTTTAATTTCCTTTTAACTTTTAGCTATTACAAATAACAAAAACTAAGGGGTTGATTATCTGACATTTTTCTTTTTAGTCTGCATTTCCTTTATGCATTCAGTGAACCAACTCCCAAGGAGTTAGATGCAATTCTGAATTGCATTGGTAACTTTTACTCTAAGTCAAAGTACAGCACACCTGTGGCGCCATACTGTAGGTGACCACATGGGCACCCAGGAATCCAAAGTTTCTCATCCTTTTTTTTCCCTGTAATGTTGAATAACAGACCTATTTTTCTTCCATAAAAAATCTTGGGGAATAGAAATTGAATTTAAAAGCTTTTCAGCAATTTTTCTCTCTTCTTAGCAAAAAGGCAACTAAGCAAAAAGTAAAGACTCAGAGAATTAAGGTAAGTATGGCTAAAGAGAAAAGCAGTCGTCGTTAATGCAGTCAGAATCCAGTCCCGTCCTCCTTCATCTTGTTCTTAATCTGTTGCTTAAACATTGTTTTCTTTTTTGCAAAGACTCTTTTAAGGAGGTAATTTTGATTCATTCAGTCTTTTATGAGCGTGTGTGCCTCAAGGTACCAATTTTAAAGTTCATCCCATTTTTTTGTGTGAGGTTCTGGTCCTTTCTTTCCTAGTATTCCCAGCAACAAAATAAGATTATCTAAATGAAAACTTTCCCATTCACCATTGTGGCCACTGTAACGATAGTTAATCCTTAGCAGGGCTAATCTTACCCATTTACTGAACCCAGTTCAGTTTTGTCTGACCCAGACATTTTTCTGTCCAGACTTCCAAAGGTTATATGCTCTCTTGCAATGTAAATTAACCCTGGATTGAAAACCAAAAGGATAGGGGATTCAATGCAAAATGAACAGAATGAGGCCCTAGAGAACTTACCCTCAACCCTCAGGGTTCCCTGAGGAAAGCAGGGCCCCTCACAGGGGTCAGCACCCCTTCTTTGCTGCATTCCTCAAAGCGCCATGAGAGCCACCAGCGGTCACTTCAGGTCTCTCATCAGTTGCCAAAGTTGATAAAAGACAACATTACAACAAATCTACCTTCTCAGATCTTAATTGGCTTTATTTGTGATTCTAGAATTGAGAAGCAGTCCAGGACAAAATATGGTTGAGAAAAGCCCCACGCCACCACATGGACAGGTTATATTTATAACCAGAAAAAAAGGGGGTTACATAGAGAAAATCGAAGTGGGGCACAGAGACAGTCCAATTAGTTCTAGCTCAAGTTTGTCTTATTTGAACATGGTTTGAACAGTTGGCTGCTTGTGATTAACTGAGACTTGGCAATATTATGAGAGTGGGTTACATTATGTTTGCACATCAAGGTATGCTACTATGTATGGAGAAACCTGTAAGCCAAACTTAAAATGTATGGAAACAACTTTAGGTCAAACTGAACAACTTTAAGCATTATAACTAAATCACATGTGTGTGTATATGTGTCTGTGTGTGTGTGTTGTGAGAGTTGAGGGGGGAATAATGGAAGAGCAAAAACAAAACAATAAAATTACTGTACTTTTATGTATGAGGCACAAATTATTCATGATTTTGTTCCTAATCTCAGAGGAGCCATTCTGCATTCTTCTTAAAGGCTAAACACTTCTTTTCCTACTCATATCATTAGTTGTTAACTCTTATTCTAAATGGTTCTTGAAATTTAAGTATAATAGCACTTTTGTTAGCCGTCAAAATTACCCAGAAACCAGCTACTCTTTGCAAACTGCTTTCTTAGAAGTTATCAAGTATTTCATTTTCAAAGAACTCTGCTTTAAAATAAGCTTAAATACAAAAGCTAACAAGGTCTTTAAAAATGATTTAAAGAGGCTTCATCCATCACAAAGGCTTATGATTGCTTTACTTTATTCTTTGTAGAAGGCTTTCCATGTAGGTGTGAGAAAGATGAATTATACCTCTGTACACATGGGACATACCTTGATCCACTAAATCCAGAGTATATAGGGAAGCAATTTATAATCGGGTTTCACTGCGCCGGCTTTCTATTATCATCAGTACATTGTAATCATTTCCAAATGTCTCAGGGTTTTTCCATCATAATCTTCAATCACAATACCCTTCCTTGTCTTCCTCTTTTTTCCAAAGCAAATAAACAACCAATTGTCTTTCAATTAATCTGATCAATGATGTAAAGCTCTTCATTTTGTTTTTCAATCTATGTAGAAACTCACCTATTGCAGCCTTTACGTTCATGTGATTCCAGATGCTGTTTTTATGGTAAAGTCTCCCTATAGGCTTCAGATGGATCAAGTTTCTATCTATTCTGCCTGATTTTCAGTGTACTTTATGACTCCCTAAAGATGAATAAAGAGATGTGGGAAGAAACATTGATTTTATGTGCTATCATAAGTCTAAAGATCAGGTGACAGAAAGGAATAAAAAGGTTCACACCCAAACCTAACTGATTGTCAGAATCACAAAAAGAATGTTTTTGGAAATGCAAAATTCTGCAAGCCATGGTAGACCTACAGAATCAGTCTCTTCTAGGTATGGAGTCTAGGAATCTACCATTCCTAAGTTGATGAGTGGCTCAACGCAGAGTTTAAATCATTAAATTGGCCTTAGACCAGTACAATCAGTATCAACTAGGAAAATGTTAGAAAGGCAAATAACCAGGCTCCATCCAAGTCTTACAAAATCAGAAACTCAGGATAGGGTTCAGATGATTCTGATGCATGCCAAATACTGAGAACCACTGTCTGAAATATACCAAATAAGATAATCAACTTCTGGTTATTGGGCATCAATAAGATATTATTGGGCATCAGTATACACAAATATTTTTATTTATTGTAAAATATTTAATTTTCACAAAATTTACTCTCTATGCTTTTTTTTTTCACCTGTCTCAGGTTTATTTGTGCAAACAGCACAGGAGGACACTAGCCCCAGGTAGACAGTAGCCCAGGGATCATGCCAGTCCTATCCTTGCATTGTCAGGCAAAGGCTATCACTAGAGAGCCATCGTGGGGGGCTGAACACATTTGCTAGGAGCCTGAGCTGGAACTGGGGCTGCAGGTGCATGTGCATCCTGGGTCTAGGCCTTGGCCTGAGGCTTGGTTTGGGCCTGGGCCTTGGACTTGGTTTGAGCCTAGGCTTTGGCCTTGATTTGAGCCTTGGCCTCGCCCTTGATTTGAGGTCTCTTCTTATCCTTTGGCCTGGATGGCCTAAGACCCTTGGCAATGCAGGCACAAGCACACTTCCCAAGCTTGGGGTGCACAATATAGGCAAGTTGATCAAGCTTGTGGCAGACACCCTTTGGGATCATGGGCTTAACTTCCTTAGGCTTGACAATGGCCTGAATAGCTTCAGCATGTGCACTCATAGCCTTGGCACTGTTGGCCAACATCTTGTTGCGTTTCTTGGCAAAACGCATGTTCCTCAGGAACTTGGGATCCACCCATTTAAGTGATGTGTATCTTTGTGAAAAGGGTTTCTTGATGCCATTTCTTTGCCACTTACACAACTGGTTATGTGTAGTATAAGTCTTGCACTTGACCATGTCTGCACTGTAACTTGCTGCTGCCAAAACACCTGGAACCAGAAAAAAAAAAAGCTGAAAGATACTCTATATTTTCTTTTTCTTTCTCTATAAAATTTTGGCATTCATATATTTTTCAAGAGAATTATTCTATATGGAATATAAGTAAAATGATAAACTGATTCTCTGCAGAACTATAATTGGAAACTAGCAGATTTTTCTCACTAGGAAAGTATTTGGCTCTCATGATTTTGGTCAGGGAACTAAAGCTACAACTGAATTACTATTATATTTACTGGTTGATTATTGTATAATAAAAAAGTGACACATTTCAATTTTAAGGAGAATGAGCTTTAAAAATTCTGTAGCATATTTTTGTTCTTGCTACTTTTGACACTTAGACTTTTTATGACTTTCTTGCTTTTTTTCTTTCACAATTTGGGAAAACATGCCTCAATTTTTCTTTTGTATTTGTTCACAAATTTTTACTACAGGAAAAAATTGGGAACTTCTCGAGACTTATGAGATACCATAAATATAATTTAGTCCAACCTCTTTTTTATAGATAAAGAATGAAATTAGAGACATATAGTACATAAATTTCATACAGTGCAGCATCAAATAATTGCTAGAATTAGAAATAATCTACGGATAACAAGGATAACAGCCAAGTAAAGAACAAGGACAAGTGCACTGGCCTCTGGAAAGTAGCTAGGAGGAATTTTAGTAAAATCTCCTGTTTGTATTCAAACACAACAAAACTATTTTCTTTTGTATCATATCCACTGGAGTTACATTAACAGAGGACAAAATATTGTCTTAGAAACTCAAATCTGAGATCATAGAACATGTCAAAGACACTTGGTAAATGGGACTCTTTAAAAGTGAATGCTTCCCTCATCCTTCCAATTTCATTTAATGTGTTTTATGTTTAGGAGATATTTTAGAGAATCTCAAACCGAAAACCTTCCTGAAATCAATCTTTTTATTTTGTTCTAATATCAAATGAAAAGCAATTTTCAGCTCAAAGTTTCCACTTATTGCTTTCCTTTGTTTTCTGCCCTTTAGCCACTTTTCAATTCAATAGTTAATTTCCCTTCCATTTCATGATTCTATACCCTTGACATTAACCTCTGATGTGTGAGTCTGATAAATGCTTTCTGAAAATCATGTAACATCATTTTAAAATGTGTCTACATTGCCATAGCATCCTCAACTATGTTCAGCATGTTTCATTCTGTTGATAAAGCTATGCTTTCCCCCTCAAAAGGTTTTTCAATTGATATTCTCTGTTTTGAAAAACCGGGGAATTTTTCTGTTAGTCTTGTAACACCAATTGAGCTGTGACCAAAACAAAGTCTTTTTGGAGGAAGTGAAATAAATGTTGTGGCTTTACTTCCAAACATACTACAATATGAAAAAATACATTTAGTTTAATAAAGCACATATTCATAATTAGGTATTAAATCACAGTTTCATCTCATTAAGAAAGTATATGCTTAGATGTTCCTATATACCTCACAAAAATATTCACCTCTTTTTAGTATACAATCTTCTACCATATTAAAATAAATGGCTTATAACTTGTCAAATCTTACTGAGTGATGGCAAGCCTGCCTTGAATTTCACTGGTGTATATGAGATTCGATGGAAATTGATTTTGGTACATAATGACCAACATTCTCCTGTATTTGAACTATTTCTTGAGTATAAATTAGGTTGTAAACAAGACACCTCTAGAAGCTACAATAACTATTTTGTGGCCAAATTAAAGCAGTTCTTTTCAAACTGAATCTCATTGAACTGTAGCATTCTATTGGAGCCTGGTAGGTTTTCACTGGCTATTCATAAGTAGTAGATGTATTTCAGTTTGGAAATTTGAATGAAAACCAACATACTGCATTGCTTCCTGAGACATACACTGTCAGAGATATAAAAAAATTTACCTCTGTGGGTCTATGTCTGTACAATTTCTTAAGTTGGAGAGAGCTAGACTTTCTAGTGTACTGAATGTTGTGTCCTCATGAGAAGGCAAGAGTCTTGAATGAGATCATGACATCAAGCTCGGGGCATTTGAAATCATAATTTTTTAATTTGTCTGCAGTTAGTCTTCTCACTAAACTGCATACATCCAGTGTAACTGACTGAGCTTCCATCTCAGTTGCTACTTCACAATTACCAAAATTGCTAATTCTATCACAATTGACATTGACCTCTGCCCGCATACCAGGAGTCTTTCCTACGTGATCTGTGACAGATCTTTCTGGAACTACCTGTCATTTTTGTACACCTGACCCTGGAGAACCAAGGCAACTCAGAGAAGCCTGAGAAGTTGCTTCTGCTCTACCCCTTCACCTTCTTGTTACCACCCCATGTTCCATCTCCTCTCCACGCTCGTGTTGGATCCATAGATATTGACATTAAATTGGATTGGAATACAGCCTCTGCGACAGGAATTTGTGATGTTGTTCACTGCTGTGGTTTGAATATCTGTTCCTTAGAACTCATGCAGGAGTTTAGTTCCTCAAGTCTTATGTTAATGGTACTGAGCATGGAAACTTAATCCAATTATGGAGTTTATAGGTGGGGCCTTTGGGAGATGATTAGATGGGATTAGTTCATTAAAGTGGAGTTCCCAGGATTGAATTGTGGTGGCTTTATAAGGAGAGGGCGGAGGGAGAGGGAGGGAGAAAGATATCAGACATAGACAAGTATGTGCACTTAACTGTATCTTAACATGTAACTCTGTGTGCTCGCTTGGGTTTTGTCATCAGGACATAAGGCCCCTAGACATGTACCTAGAGAATTCTGCGGCAAAACAAACCTCTTTTTTGGGGAGGTGGGGGAGTTAGCCAGCCTCATGTATTTCATAACAAAAATCTGACTATTATAGCCAGTCTCTATAGGAATGCAGTCAAAAGATCCTGCCTTACTCTCTTTTTCAAGGACCTAGAAATAAACATAATGCCCAAGTTCCAAGCAGAAGGAACTGGGCTGTAATGCCTGGCACTGTACATGCAGTATTAATGATGCTATCTCAAAGGAGTGCTTATTTCATTTTTGAGATGAGGAAATCAAGACCTAGAGAAATAAGGTAACTTTCCCAAAGCCCACAAAGTGTAAGTAGGAGACACTGGATTCAAACTTTTATATTTTTGAATCCAAAATCAATTTAGTTTCTGCTACAATAACCAGTTTCACATGTTATAAGACTCTAGATATATTAAAAGTTGTTCTTTAAACCTAATTAATAAATTTTTATTCGAAAGTTGGAAAGACAGAGAGAAAGAAAGAGAGAGAATTATGGGATATGTATTCGTTAGAATACTATACCGCAGTAAGAAACAACGAAATCCAGTCATTTGCAACAAAATGGAGGAATCTGGAACACATCATGCTGAGTGAAGTAAGCCAGTCCCAAAGGGACAAATACCATATGTTCTCCCTGATTGGTGACAACTGACTGAACACCAAAAAGGAAACCTCCTGAAGTGAAATGGACACTATGAGAAATGGTGACTTGATCAGCATAGCCCTGACTGCTAATGGACAACTTAATACATTATCCCTCATAGTATTTTTTTTTGTCTGTTCTACTTAATATGACTGGTTTAATTCTGTAATTATCACACAGTTATTCTGAAGTGTTGAAAATTAACTGAAATGTGATCCCTGTTAAACATAAGAGTGGGAATAAGAGAGGGAAGAGATGTATAATTTGGGCATGCTCGGGCTGACTTGCCCCAATTGGTAGAGTTGGAAACATACCAGGGGATTCCAATTCAATCCCATCAAGGTGGCATGTACCAATGCCATCTCACTATTCCAAGTGATCAATTTCAGTTCACAATTGATCATAATGAAAGGACTAAGAGTCAAAGGGAGCACATAAACATAAACAAGTCTAGTATCTGCTAACACCAACCGATAGAATAAATAAAGGGGAGAGTGATCCAACATGGGAAGTGAGATACTCAGCAGACTCATAGAATGGCGGATGTCCTAAATAGCACTCTGGCCTCAGAATCAGCCCTAAAGGCACTCGGATCTGGCTGAAAAGCCCATGAGAGTATTTCAGGCATGGAAAGCCAAGACACTCTGGCAAAAAGATCTCTGTGAGTGAGATCCCAGTGGAAAGAACAGGTCTTCAAAGAGGGAGGTGCCTTTCTCTGAAGGGAGGAGAGAACCTCCACTTTGACTATGACCTTGTCTAAACAAGATAAGAGTCGGAGAACTCAAGGGGCTTCCATAGCCTTGGAAACTCATGACTGGTGCATAGGGGGATTACTGATGCCATAAACAGGAGTGTCAATTTGTAAAGTCAACAACAGGAGTCCCTGTGCGACTTACTCCTCATGTAGGATTTTCTGTTCTTAAAGGGCTGTACACTGAGGCTTTAATGCTTATAACGAGGTACTCAAACAGTATATTTCACTTTTGTGTTTTCTATGGGGGTGCAAACGACTGAAATCTTTGCTTAATGTACACTAAACTGATCTTCTGGAAAAACAAAAAAAGAAAAAAAAAACACATAAAATGAAAGAAATTATCAATTCCCAACTTGACTCTCACTGGGATTAAACATGACAATAGGTCTGATCTGATTTCATCATCATTTAAAAAAAATCATCTATTATTTTTCACTTTATGTTTCTGTGTGGGAGCAAACTGTTGAAATACTTACTTAAGGTATACTAAGCTGATCTTCTGTATATTAAGATAATCGAAAATGAATCTTGATGTGAATGGAAGGGGAGAGGGAGTGGGAAAGGGGAGGGTTGTGGGTGGGAGGGACGGTATGGGGGGGAAGCCATTGTAACACATGAGTCGTACTTTGGAAATTTATATTCATTAAATAAAAGATTAAAAAAAATTTATTCAATAAATAATGGATTAGAAAAAAAAAAAGAGAGAGAGACAGAGTTTCCAAATGCTGGGTTGACTCCCCAAATACCCTCAGCAGACAGGGCTGTGCCAAGCGGAAGTTAGGAGCTAGGAACTCAATCCAAGGCTTCCACATA